GGGTGTCGGGGACTGTGCATGCAGGGCCGAGGGCTATGGCGGGGGCTGTTGCTGGGGCAATGTTGGGGGCGGTGCCGGGGGTTTCTTCTGCTTGTCGGTGTTTTGTTGATGCTGCTTTTGCACCGAATAGTGGTAGGGTTGCTTTCGGGTATGCTCTATTTTCTCCGACGAATTGTTTTCTTGCTACTATTAATGGGGAATTATTGTGTTCTCCGGACCCTCTTATGGCGGAGGCTATGGCGTGTCGTGAAGCTCTATCATGGATCAAGATGCTTGATATTCATAAGTAGAGATCTTGATGGGTTGTCAACGTGTGGTTTCAGCAATTTTAGATACTTCATTCTCTCTTACTTCTTATTTTGGTTCGTTAATTGTTGAATGTAAGGCTTTGTTGGTCGGTTTTTGCTCTAGTTCTATCAGTTTTGTTCGTAGAGAGTTAAACGTTGTTGCTCATTCTCTTGCGAGGAGAGCAGAGGCCCGTCGTTCTATTTGGGTTTCTTCTCTCCCAGATTTTGTAATCCCTCTTTTACAATAATGAAGTTTCTTTACTTTAAAAAAAAAGTGGGTAAATTTTATGTGACAGAAGAAGTAATATACTAAAATTTTATGTACCTTACAAATGTATAAATTTTATTTTTTATGTAACTTGTAAATGTATAAACTTCATGCGATAGAAGAATTTGTTGTGTAACTTGTAAATGTATAAATTTTATTTTTATTTCCATCTAAACTTTTAAATAAATTAAATTAAAAATAATTTAAGTTTATTAGACACCCACTTTGACCAAACACGAATTCACATCCCACAACCCAAAGATCTACTTTGGTGGAGAGCATATCCAATCTGACGCTAAAATAGATCATCACGTTTATAGGACTGATTAAGGGCATGTTTGGGACATTAGACATTAGCATTTTGAAAATGCTATCTACGGGTAGCATTTACGTTTTTAAAGTAATCTACACCATTAAAATTTTATTTAAAACGCTAACGCTATTCCCAAAGAAACCATAAGTAAACAGAACTAAACAAACCGGTTCATATAACAGAATTATTGCTGAACCGGGGTGGTAATGAAGGCCCTAAACCGGCCTTCTCTTACTCACAGTGTTTTTCACCTTTCCCCCGAGATTACCAGACTCAAGAGGAAGAAATAAGGCGTTGGGCAGAGGGTGAAATTCCCTTTTTGCCCCCGTTCGCGCAATCGAACCCGCATCCGCACTGAGGGCTCTCGAAGAAATTGTCGATGGTGAAGGAGGCGGAGGCGATTCCGACGGAGAAATCGATCTCGCTGCCGTCGTTGGTGACCTCCACGATGTTCACCCAGAAGAGGAGTATCTTCACCTGCACGCCGCCGAGATCGGAGAGCTTTCCGGGAGAGATCTTCCCGGTGATGGTGCTCTTGTACTTGAGCTGGTACCCGTCGATGGTGAAGCTGCAGGATCCGTTCAGATACACGGAGAACTTGCCGGTGCTGGCGTCCAGCTCGTAGCTCGTTACGCCGCGCGGGAGGAGGCCGACCGGGAAGCCGTACTGCCGCAGGACATCGTAAGCCGTCGGCGAATCGTCGGCGGCCGACGGATGAACGGCGGAGAGGATGGTTGAGCAGGCGAGGAATACGGAAAGCAGTTGAGCGGACGGAGCCATTTTCTTCGGCCAAATTAGGGCTTCGAGTGTTTAGCAAATGCCAACTGCAAAGGCAAAAGTATGGTGGGTAGATTTGGTAGTTGGAGTGAAAGGCAGAGGGGAATTTTTAGCCTTCTCCTGGTCCCACTCAAATACTCATTAATAAACCGAGTTAGAGCAACCCTAATATTTTGACGTCATAATCTCAAGTTTTGTACAAGAGAGACAATAATATTTTGTGTGGCTTATGCAAAGGTTGAAGTCATAGATAACTACTAAATGTTAGAGTTACCCTAATTTTATTGATCAATAATGGTCAGTTGTGAAAAAAGATATCTCTTGTTTTGACAAAGTTTCTAATAGTAGAGATTAATTTTGAAAATAAACTTGTATTTTTAAAATGTTAAAAATCAAATTTTAGATTTGTTGTCAAATAGGCATTTTAGTCCGTTATACTCGGGTTGATTTTGAATTTATTAAGTCCAACTCGAGGTGGATAAATTGTTTGTCGTCTTGACTAGCAAGTCCGTGAGCTTTGAAAAAAAAGAAATTCAAGCTGAGCTCAAAAACTCGACTTAAAGATTGATTAACACTTGGTGTAGCTCGAGTTCGAATTACGTATAGAAGGGTATTTAAAAACAATTACCAAAATTATTTAAAAAAAATACCCTGGAGTAATTATAAAAATAATAAAAAACCACAAAAGATGTGTTTAGAGTGTCCTTAATGCCAAAAATTTCACGTTATTATTAAAAACAAATTAACACATCAAACTGGTCGCGCACTTCTCTACTTAAGCTTTGGTCTGCTAATAGCATCATGCTTTAAAAAAAAAAGACCAAATAAAGTAAACCAATGTGAATTGGAGAGGTCCTCAAGAGGCTTTCATTATCTTCCAATGAATGTCAAGATTTGATTTACCATTTGTTGTTTTGTTTAGAGGAAGAAATATGACAATGTTTATTGTTTCTACTTCATTGTCCTTCTAAACGGCATATGCAAACATTAATCTTGAATAACAACTAATACGAGTATTCAAACTTACCAATTGTGCACTTTTTCAAGTGAATAAAATAATTTAAAATATTTAAAAAATAAAAAATTAAATACACAAATGGTAAATTTGTGTAGTTTGTGTTCAAAGTATTTGTGACTCTAGCATTACTCGTATTCAAAACACTTTAAAGATCTCAGTTTCTGAATGGAACACTAAAAGTGCTATCAAAACATTATCAAACTATTTCTATCCTAGGCAGAAGCTGGGAATTAGTCAACAAAAGTAGTGTCAAACACCAAGCATTTATGGTCACATTTGAGAGGATTCAATTCTTTTTATTAATACGATCAAACAACAACAACCCAGTTAAATCCCACAAGAGTAGGGTCTGGGGAGGGTGTGTGTACGCAGACCTTACCCCTACTCGAAAGTAGAGAGGCTGTTTCCAAAGAGACCCCCGGCTCAACGTTGAAAGTCGCATTGCTTGACTAACTGCTACTTCTTAATTAAAGAAGCACAGACAGTTTAGAGATCCATTTTGATTTATTCCATCACACCCCAAAGCCAAAAAATGGGGAAATTTTGGCTCCATCGGAGATGATGGAAAGAAAGGACATTGATTCAGTGTCAATTTGACTTTAGCTGATGGAGTTTTGTATTCTACTACTGAGAATTGTTCACAAATAAATTACTCCGGGGTAGCAAAGTAAAATCGAAAGAGCATTGCACTCTGTGAGATGATAAGTGAATGGATCTTAAATGTCTTATACTCTCGTAGAGAGAGTCTCAAAGAAATGAACCAAATAGTCCGGAGTATAATCTGCATTTGGTTCAATGCGGCCTTATAATACGGAGTATTTGGTATCCCGATTTGAATTGGGCACTCCTTCGGCCATCCCCGTCCATTGCACAAAAGCCCGGAACCTAAAATATAATATACACACTTTGTCTCCAAAGTAGCATTTCTCTTCAAACAAATTTCAAATAAACTTTTTGCTTTTCAACTTTTTTTCTTAAACTTCGTGAAATCAAACAATTATTGGATGGGATTGATTTGGAAGAAATGAATGCAAGTATGCAACAAGAAATGAGTAACTGCTATCAAACTAGTAGTAAATTACGGAGTAGTAATGAACACGAGTACGGGTAGAAGAAGAGCATATGGAAGTCGTACATACAGATGGATATTTGAGTGGATGAACTCAGTTCACGTCCTTGAGCCTTTTGATCAATTGGTCAAGAGATTTCTTCTTTGTGTTTTGCTTGGCACCCCTAGTTCCAAACGACCCAAATAGTCGGTCCGATTGGTCGCGCAATTTCTCTGAAATGGCCACTACTTTTCTGTAATCCAGTGCATTATAGCTCCTCTCTCTAATAACTGGGTTCAAGAAATTCTCTGGGTGATTGCTCAGCAGTAAATTAACCAATTGTCTGGCCTCGACCAATGCCCCTTTCAACTGACTGGAATCTGCATCCGACAGCAGAGGAGTTTGGCTTTCGGCGAATGATTCCAAGAGACGAATATCCACATCAAGACCCATGATGGCATTGATGTTGAACCTTTTAACAGATTCTCCGAGCAATGCCCCAACCACCATCTCTGATATGTGAGCAAGAACATCTTGCAGAACTCTCTTGAGAACCGGAATCGGCAATATCTGCTGGGCAGTAGAGACAAGGGTTTCCAGGAAGATGATCACCTCGTTTGCATATTCATTCCCACCCTGCACAGGTTCATCAGCCATCCAATTCACATTTTCTATCAGCATGAGAAACCCATCAACTTTTTGCTTGAGCAAGCCAGAAAGTGTCACTTCTGCCTTTTCACTGGCTTTGGTCAATGGGAACTGCCTCCTGCCCCTCTCCACGATTCGCAATGGAATTCCAGAGAGTTGGGCGGCATGGCGAAAGAAGAAATCACAAGCCCTCTCAAACACAGCCATGTTTGCCGCCATCTGCATAGCTTGGGTGGCACCGGTAATGGAGGTATCAATGAGTTTCAGCAAAGCTCCATCTAGGACCTCATTCAAGAGGCGGTCCAAGTATTTCTTGACCATGTTGTAGAAATCAAGATGTCCTCCATATGACATAAAGCTCACAGAATCTTCAATGAATGACCTCACTATTCTGCAGCAATCGGGAACCATCGACGAAAATGGAGCAACATAAGGAAATGCAGGGACAATATGTGATGTTTGGAGCTGAAAGGATAGAACATTCATGGAGTATTCGTATTCCTTCTTCATATACATTTGCTCAAGCTTGTCAGCAGATAGAGCTTCAGACATCTGCTTACGGCAATCAGACAAGAGGAGTTCATGATATTTATCCCTATGCTTGCTCAGAACATCAAACAAAGCATCGATAGGGTACCCATAACGGCGCAAGGTGACTCCAAGAAGACTAACATAGTCCTTTATCAACAGCAAATGGTTTGCAGTTTGCATTCTTGAAAATTGGTCTTCTAAGACAGAACACATCTTACCAACAGCTGTGTCCCATAAGTTCTCCACCTCCTGTTTGGATATCAATCCACCGCCAGTTCCCAGAACACGGTCCTCAACTATGAAAAACCCAGCAATCTGTGCAAAAAACGTTTGGTGGGACTCTAGAAAGGGCGTCATTGACGATACCTGGAAATCAGATGTCAATTGAAGCTTTCTGTTCTCAAAATAGTATTGCTTGAAACGTTCCTCAAGCCCTAGAGTCTGATGTATGTGATATGCCCTATACAATGGAGTTAAATCGAACCCCAACATTCCATTAACTCCTCCATTGTTGTAACCGTCTCTTCTCTCAAGGCTGATTCCATTGAGCCCGTCATCATCCTCTTCTTCTTCAAGAACATATACTCCGTCCCTCAGACTGAGTCGACTTTGCTCCTCGGCTTGTCGCTGCTTGAATCTAAGTTCCTCTTCTCTTTGTCGAGCGGCGGAGGCTTGTCCTATGGCTAATTGGCCTAAATTCCGACTAACAACTCGGATCTCGACGAGCCAGTCTCCGAAATCCTTGTTCACTCTGCGCTCAATATGCGACCGAATCGACGGGATCTGCTTCTCAAGCATTCGGCGGAGTGTGGATGACGGTGTCTCATCCAGAAAATCTCGCTCGATTGAGTCCACACACTTCAAAGCCATGTAGAAATTGTTCTTCTCGAGATGAGAATTAGCTCGCAAGCAAAGCTCAACTAATTTCGTGCAAGTCTGCAGGGATTCAATGGCGAGGCTGATATTTTTGCACTTGTTTCGAGCTTCAACAAAGGTGTCGAGCGAGGTGAGAAGCGGTACAGCAACGGACTGGAGCTGGGAATTGGAGGTGGAGAGGGACGACTTGATGGAATCGACGTCGGAGAGGAGGGATCTGAGGTCGTCTACGGCGGTGATGAAGTCCTCGTAGTGAGCCCTGCAGACTTCCTCGATTTCCGACTCCTTGGATCGAGCGAAGTGGCGGAGGTGGTGGAGGAGAGTCTCGGGCTTCCCGGAGGCGAAAGCCTTCCGGACGAAGGGGCCGAGATCGTCTCCGTTGCAGATGGCGGAGGAGAGGAGGAGCTGGTCAAGCTTGTCGGCTGATTCGCCGTTCTCGGACGGCGCCGGAACTACTTTCCGCCGCATCTTGGACGAGTTCATTGTCCGTTGTGGCCTTTGCGGAGCCGGTAATCCGCTAGAATGACGGAACCATTTCTAACGGAGGCAATTTAGGAATGGACGGGAAAATAGACGGAGAATGATGATGGGGAAGGTTTCGGTTTCCATTTTCACTTCGGAATTCTCGGTTTTGCCCCTGGCACTACTTTAGCTAACATCGTGTCGGGTACTCGTGTCACATATGCGGACCGGATGTTCAGTCTTTCGGCCCAGGCTAAAAATGGGCTGGAAGACAAATAGGTCCAGACCACATATTTTGAGATTCAGGCGGTTTATTAAAAAAATATTGATTTAGGTTTTTATTTATATCTAATCTGCGCAACTTAAACAAGTGTGTTATAAATTTAAATAAAGAAATAAATAAAGTGTATAAATAAAAACGTAAAGTACATGTACCAAATTTCAAACTGGTTTGGAATTTTTTTTCTGATTTCGTAGTTTAGGACTTTGAAATTCACTAATGTTCCGGTTTCACGTACACTTCAAAGCTCTAGATTTGTCATTTTTATAATGCTTATTGATAACAATAAAAAATTTACAACAGTTATTCTCGATTGCTACATGAACGAATTTCCGGCGATTATTCTCCATTGCTTATGAGATTTCGCAATAACTATTTCCGATTGCATGAACCACAGATTTTGTAAGACTATTTTCAAATTTTACTATCTCGTAAAGATTTTACAATGACTCTCATTGTCCACTTCTAAGGATTTCTTTTATTATTTTTAGTCATTTACTCCGTACAAGATATGCATGAAGAATGAAAATCACCCTTGCAATCACCCGGGTCCTCAAAAAAAGGAAATAAGAGAAAGGACAATATAGAAAATTTGTATGCTCTTTATAGTTGCAACATTTCTTAGAGACACATATGAACATGTTTCATTAACGATTTTCATACGAAGTGAGAAAAAAATTAAAATTTGCATATTATGGAATATATTAATTGTATTTGAAATTTTAAAATTGAAATGTAGATAATTGTGTGAAAATTAAAATCTAAAACACAGAATCTAAAATTGAAAGAATAGAGTCTAAAGTTAGAAATCTGTATATTCTAACATTGAGTAATTAATTTATTTGAAAAAAATGAATATTACAAAATGATGACAAATAAGCGGTGGCCAAGTCAAAGTAAGCCGCTGAAGAATGGAACTCCGGTCTGGGGCAACCACTGATCTCCAAACAAAAAGTTAGAAACCGTGAAGTTACCCGCATCGGTTCCATTGACCAGTCCGAACCCGGTCCAGCTCACTCTCCCCATCGTGTCCGAACCCGGTCCGGTATTATTGAACTCCCCATAGTACGACGTGTTGAGCGCGAAATCCCCGGACCAGTCATGCCACCCCTGCGAATTGACCAAACTGCCCATGAACGACTGCACGTACACCGTCCTGGAATACTGCTTCCACGGCCGCCCCAGAAATGTCTCCGTTCTGCCGTTGCTTCCGGCCAAGTCGGCCGCGGCGGCGACGGTGCAGTTGAGGATCGAGATTCCGGTGTTCTGGTTCGGGTCGGTTCTGCCCTGGGCGGTGATGGCGTTGAATTGACCCGGCAGGGGCAGTCTCGGGAAAATATTGCAATTCTGGAACAGGGCGGCGGCGTTTCCGAATATGAAGTCGACGGTGCCGTAGACGTCGCAGTCCCTGTAGAACTGTCGGAGGGAATGGGTGTAGAGAGTGTCTTGGTAGGCTTCGAAGCTGCAGAGGTAGAACGCCGACAGGTCGGCGCCGTTCCGGACCGCCACCGCTTGGTGCTTGACTGCCCCGGCCGTGTTGCGAAATGTCATGTTTACCCCTACGAATCCTTCTCCAACCACCGCTGCAGGTGCACATAAAATGCTTGAGATACTCATTTCAATAAAATTATGATATTTCTAAAATTTAATTAAATTTGAATTAAATGATATTTAATTTACAATAATATTATTCAATATATATTTTAAAAAAAATTGTATAAGTTTTTCATTTTTCATCTCAGATAAGGGAAATAATTATTTTGAGACGAAACAAGTAAGTATTCCTAAGAATACTTACAGAAAGTAGAAGAATTGAAAGTAGTCCAGCCATCGATGAAGCTCCGATTCCCAGTGATAACGGTCTGGTTAATGCCGTCGCCGATCATCATCAAGTACTTCTTGTTTTTCCCCACGGTGACATATTCCTCGTATACGCCAGCAGTGACGTAGACGAGGAAATAGCCATCAGTGGACTTGGAGTTGTTGGGAGCGGCGGCAACTGCTTCAGTGACAGTGGTGAAATTACCGCTCCCGTCTTGACTCACCACCACAATGTCTTTCACCTGAACCTGCTGAGGTAGGTTCTTGTCTGGCGGCGGTGCTTGGAGAAGCTTTCTCCCGCTCACCCTCTCGAAAATCGCTTTCGTCCTTTCTGACATCGTTAGCGACAGACGGCCTTTTTGGAACCCGATTTGCTTCTGTGATATCGATCATGTTAATAAACCAACTTAACCAAAAGGATTCGGGCTCTGAAAAGATAATTATATTCTAGGTAGTGAACAAAAAGAATATATACCTTTTTCTTCTTATTAGGAACCCAACATTTGGTGAACAACGCGAGAGAAACACTAAAAAGTCTCGTGTCGTTCCCCAAAGGCGTCACAAGACCATCCTTGACGCTCCAAGTGGCAGAAGCATCTCGGAGCCCATCCACGCAACTTTGCACGTTGGTGAGAATGGCACTGAGCAACGTGTGCACGTCCTCAACCTCCATCTCCAGGAGCGTTCTGGACGTGCCATTGACCGCCCTCAACGAGCTGGCCAAATAGTCAACATTCAGACCGGCCAAAAGCTCGCAGTCCTCGAGCGCCCGGACAGCGAGATTGGTCAGCGTCTTGGATCTCCGGCGGATGTGGGTTTGAATCACGGTCTGAAACTTCCGAGCGGCGGAGAGAGACTTGCCGACGGAGAAGCGGCTGTAGTCGTAGAAGTTGGCGGAGGTGTTGCCGCCGGGAAGCACGGTTTGGCAATAGGTCGGGTAGGGCGTGGACTTGCACACGGTGGATACGGGGACTGGACTCGACGGCGGCGGTGGCGAAGAACCGCTGGACACGGCGGCGCAACGTTGAGGACACCATATCGGAATCATGACAAGAGTCATGCAGCTGAATAAGAGGAAAATGTCACAATCTTTTGCCATATTGTGAATATACTATCCTCGTATGTGGTTAATTATTTGCTCATATGTTTGTATATAACTTATAGATATTCTGTGTATTATTTACCCGATAAATTAGGATTAGGAAAAAGGGTAATCATATAAGTTGTTTAATAATTATAATTTGTATAGAATGAATTACGAAGGATATATATATAATACTCCGTAATGTTGATTTGGTGGCAAAATGGAGTTTTCACGTACAACCAAGTGGATTGGATAGTATGAAAGCGCGTAGATCTCTATATACTTGGATCTAAGACTTTTTGAGCTCCAAATAAAAAAAGTGGGACATTAATTTTGAAGTTTGAATTATATGGAGGTGTTTACTTTACTAAAATCACCATAATTTTTGAGCTCCAATACTCTCTTAGTCTACAATTGATCACATTGTTTATTGTTCCAAAATTGTGATAACAATTGTTTTTTAGTGCATTTTCATTGTTTATTTGATAAATTAAACTAAAATATTTTTGTCACATTTGTTTTGTTTAACTTTTGATGTAATTTTTCAATATGCAAATTATATTTTTCATTTCTATATCAATTTCAGAATAAAATTAATCCAAAAAAAAAATTGATACAAATTGTTTTGTACAAATTGTAACTAATGGGGTAAAAAAGTTTGCATATCTGTCAAATCAAAACTCGTACTTCATGAATCATAATGTTTTGGCTAATTGAACAAACTCGTAATATTGTTTAAAAAAGAAATTAGACATATTAATGAAAAAAAAGTTTTCCCATGCCTTTGTAATATAAGGGGGTATGATTGTCTATCCATTAAATCAATGCCATGTTGATTTCTATTGTCAATTAACTTTATCAACGTGTCTAACTCTAATTTTAAAAAATGAAAAATGACCCTTGTGCATGTTAATTACTCCTAACGACTAACGGTAATTATTTTATGTCTCTTTTATTAATTTACGTACTCTATCCGTCCCTGAGTATTTGTTTACTTTTGATTTTTTCGGTCAACATTGGTAAATTTTAACCTCAAACTAAATAAAAATGATATTAGATATTGATACAAAAAGAGTTTTATTAGATTTATTATATCAAATATTTTCAAAATATTATTTTATTTAATTAAAATACAATATATATTTTATTTAATTATAGGTCAAAAGTTAAAAAAAGTTGACTGAAAAAAGTCAAAACTAGACAAATACTCAAGAAACATTTTTTTAACGAGAGGGTGTAACACATGGGCCATTTTGCAAGTTCTTAAAATTATTGTGAAGCATATCGACTAATCTTACGTGACATTAGAAGTCCAAATGACACTCATTTAATTAAAGAAAAAACATCCATACCCCTTGAATTATAAAGACACGAGAAAAAAATCTTAATAAAATATTGAGAGGTCTAAAACAATATACTCCGGGGTAATACCTGTACTTTCATATTTTAGGGCGATTGAAGGATATATATTCATATTTAATCTGTATTCAAAGAAAGTTGAAATATAAAGAGAGTTTAATTTGTGTGATTAGGATATATAGGTAGTTAATTAAACACGTTTTAGTCTCTTGTGCCAGAGCTACTATTACTTTATTAGCTTTACCAGCAGGCGACGTGCTTGCCACACCATTTTCATGAATGCTATTTCCTTCATTATATTCTTTAGGCTTTAAATAACGTTTCATAATGATGCAAAGTAATTTTACAAAAGAAAACGAGAAAAGTGTATCATTTACCCTTGAATTTTTTGGGAATTGCATGGTTTGTCTCTGAATATTAAATAGTGCATCGTTTGCCTTCGAATTCTTCAAAAATTACACGATTTACCCATGAACATTAAAAGGTGCATCTAATACCCATGGACAATTTAAAATATTACACCGTTGGTCCTAACATGCTAGATAGAGAGAATCATCTTTACTGAAATGTTCATGGATAAACCGTGCAATTTTTAAAAAATTCAGAGGTATTTGGTATACTTTTTAATGTTCAGAGGTAAACCATGCAATTTCTGAAAAATTCAAGGTATTTGATGCATTTTTTAATGTTCAGGGGTAAAACGTATGACTTTTGAAGAATTTGGGGGTAAAGAGTATACATTTTTTTCAAAAGAAAACAAACAATTATGGTTATATACTTTTCAGATAAATGCCAAAACTAGACGTTAGTGACAAAGACGGCACGAAAGTAACTTTTTCAAATAAGGGATTACGAATTCAATTCCTAGTGGAAACAATAACTTTCGGTCTCTCAATAGGTTAAGAAAGTACGCATAAACAAAATCTAGAACTGTAATAGGGTTATTATTGCTAGAAAATTTAGTGATATTTTGATTTTTTTAAAATGATCCAAATTTATCTTAAAAATGATAAAACTAAACAATTGATATGATCGTTAAATATATATTTTTAAAATACTAACACTAAAAAGTGGAACCTCAATATATAATTAATGTGGAAGTTAAATGTCATATTGATTGCCTACACATATAAACATTTTAATGAAATTAACGACTCCTAATAATGTACGGTAATAATGTTTGAGCTGAATAATGGAATTTATTTCCCCTTCTATGAAAAACAAATAATACAAAAAACATAATATTCTGATTAACCTAACATAAAAGTGCTACTGAGCTTAGATTGCATCAAATTGAGATATTGCTTTTCTTAGAGGGAGGATAGAGTGGAGTTATATTAATGAAGTATCACCAAGAAGCAAACTCTTGTTTGGAATAACATTTTCTATTAACTCTAACATTTGGATAAAATTACCGTTAAATGTCATGTTTAGATATTCTTTTCAAAAAATTAACACTAATGCTTTGAAGTTGTTTAACTCCTACATACACCATAAGTGTTGGTATATGTGCATCTTCTTAGGATCGAAAAATAGTGTGTTTTCTCCTATCGACTTATTCCTTTTACTTATTTAATATAATTGTATGAAAAAAAATTGACAGTTAGTTTAATTGGACCGTTCCTGAATTGAAATGAGCCCTTGATATAGTATCAAAGTCTTTTTAACCAAGAGGTCACAAAGGTGAAACCCATTGTCATTTAGTTTAAAAAAAATAAGTTTTCACGTGCAAGGCTTAAAGAAGTCATACCTGCACGTGAGGGAACGTGTTCGTACATAAAAACCTTTCTTGATGGTCCCATGAAAGATTCGTATACTCTAACACGCCCCTCACGTGCATGCGAGATTTCTTTTTCGTTCGAGCCTTGCACGTGAACATTATTTTTTTGAAACAGAGTGGCGGCGGTCAGGTTTAAACTTGTGATCTCTTGAATAAATTGTTCTGATACCATATCAAGAAACCAACTCAACTAAAAATTCAAGTTTGTGGTTCTAGCTCGATGCTAGGAATGCACATTATATTAGCACTCCATTTTTTTTGGAAAAGAATGACATTAATACTTCGTTTTTGGTCAAAATTATAGAGAGACTTATGATGACTATGAAAATAAAAGAAATTAAAATCATTATATTAATTGATTTCAAGTTCGACTTAGGGAGCAGGATACATTAGGGAGTGCTTTAATATATCCATGCATGGCTGAATTGTAAGCAGCCTGTGTGGGCTGGAGCAAGCTAATAAGCATTCACTCATTAGTCTTAGTTTGACGCAATCTTGTCGAATTCATACTTAAGCTGCTATGGATCGGACTCATTTGGTCACGAGTTTGCGGGTTCTCGCTCGGGCTTGTTGCGTGCCCTCACCCCAACCCCGCATTAGTATGATATTATCCGCTCTGGGCTAAGCCCTCACGGATTTGTTTTTGGCACCTCCCAAAAGGCCTCATACTAATGGGGTTGGGTGAACATATATATTTTGCTCCATTTTTTCTTCTCCCTCCGGTGTGGGACTTGGAGAAATCCCCAACAAACCTCCCCTCAACCAAGGACCACACAATTTCCAACCTCTCCTCAAGCGGTAATCCATTTTTCCTTTTATCAGCTAACCATCTTGCACCACCGCACACTCTTTGCGGGACGCGCCGCCCGACCTCCTGTCGGGAAGACTTTTGACACAAGGCTCGAATCGCAGATCTTTTTCCTTCGCTGGGCTACACCATTTGATCCGCCAAATTATCTTGTACCGCCGTGGCTATAACTTCACGGGACACGCCGTCCGACCTCCTCTCGTCGGGAAGACTTTCGACACAAGGCACCACCTGCAGATCCTCTTTCTTGGTCTTGGTCCTATTGTTACACCGTCACACCGAGATTTTTCTACACTACACAGTCCGCCTCACGCCCGCAAGAACCTGGGCTCCGATACAACATGTTGGGACTGCGCGTGCCCTCACCCCCACCCCGCATTAGTATGATATTGTCCGCTCTGAGCCAAGCTCTCACGGATTTGTTTTTGGGCACCTCCCAAAAGAACCTGGGCTCCGATACCACATGTTGGGACTGCGCGTGCCCTCACCCCCACCCCGCATTAGTATGATATTGTC